TCCAGGCCTGCGACGGCGGCGGCGCCGCCCTGGCGCCTTACCTGCCCGAGCTGGGGCGCGTCCTGGCCGGCGCCCTCCTCGACCCTTACCCCAAGGCCAAGCTCGAAGGCTGCGCCGCCCTGGCGGCTTGTGCCAAGGCCATGCCAGGTGGGGCCCTCGGGAGCTGGGGGGGAAGGGGGCTCCTGGAAAACAGGGGGGACCCCCAAGGCGCCCCTGGAAAAGAGGGGGTGACCCTCTAAGGCACCCCTGGAAGAGGGGGTGACCCTCCAAGGTGCCCCTGGAAAAGAGGGAGGACCCCCCAAGGCACCTCTGGAAAAGAGGGGGGACCCCCTGAGGCACCCCTGGAAGAGGGGGTGACCCTCCAAGGTGCCCCTGGAAAAGGAGCCCCTCCCAAGGCGCTCCTGGAAAAGAGGGAGGACCCCCTAAGGCGCCCCTGGAAGAGGGGGTGACCCTCCAAGTTGCCCCTGAAAAGAGGGAGGACCCCCCAAGGCACCTCTGGAAAAGAGGGGGGACCCCCTGAGGCACCCCTGGAAGAGGGGGTGACCCTCCAAGGTGCCCCTGGAAAAGGAGCCCCTCCCAAGGCGCTCCTGGAAAAGAGGGAGGACCCCCAAGGTGCCCCTGGAAAAGAGGGGGTGACCCCCCCAAGGCATCCCTGGAAAAGTGGTGGGACCCCCCAAGGTGCCCCTGGAAGAGGGGGTGAAGAGGGAGGACCCCCAAGGTGCCCCTGGAAACGAGGGGGTGGCCCTCCAAGGCACCCCTGGAAAAGAGGGGGTGGCCCTCCAAGGTGCCCCTGGAAAAGAGGGGGTGACCCCTCCAAGGCACCCCACAGCCCTGTCCCAGACACCACGGAAGTGTCGTGGGGCTGCCAGCGGGGCGTTTCGGGATGTGTGCATGCAGGGTGGCCCTAAGCCCTGTTTTTAGGGAGGGAATTCCTCCCTTGGAAGGTCTGGCTGCTAGAGGACCCCGGAGACCTTCCGGAGAAAATGGGGCCACCCTCGCTGGGCCAGGTCCGCTTGGTCTGGGATTCCTGCCTCGTTCTTCTAGGAAGCTACGGGCCGTTCTCCTTTGAAAGGTGCCCTCTCTTTGGAGCGCTGTCTGGTTCAAATGGAGAAGGATCCCCAAGGAGGAGGAGGAGAAGGGATCTGCAACCTTGACATTTGCCCACTGAGATCTGGAACCTGGGTCGCAAACTCAAGGAGATGGCACACAGGTCACACACACACACCACACCACAAGACTCAGCATGGCAGCATGGACAGAGTGCCGGCATAGGACTCAAGAAGTATAGGTTCAAATTCCCACTCGGGGATGGAAACGATGGCACACAGGTCACACACACACACCACAAGAGTCAGCATGGCATCATGGACAGAGTGCCGGCATAGGACTTAAGAAGTATAGGTTCAAATTCCCACTCAGGCATGGAAACCCACTGGGGTAACCCTCCTCCTTAAACAAAACCCCATTAGGGTTACCCTATGTCAGAAACCGCTTGATGGAATATAACAATATATAAATTAGCAGGAGCACTTTTGTGTAAATTCATGTCTTCTGCCGGCCTCTTTGGTGATGTGTAATTAAGAGACTACACAGCTATAGAAGATGCTCTAAATCAGTGGCTCCCAACCTTGAGTAACCCAACCTTGGATTGTAATTCCCAGGTGCCTTTGCCACGGGAGTTGCAGTTCAAGAACACCTGGGTTACCTAAGGTTGGGAACCACTCAGGCCAGGGCTGGAGAACATGTGACCTTCCAAATCACCATCAACTCTAGCAGTGATAAAGAGTCAAGAGTATCTTGGACTCTCCATATCCCCCACTTATGCACCATGAGTGGGATGAGGGTTCGCAGGTACAGCTGTAAAGAATGTTTATTGTCATTTGTAGGATGTCTTTTCTCCCAATGAGGGGACTGAAAGTGTGAAAACAAGTAAAATTAAAACCACCATAAATTATACAATTACAAGCAATTAAAGTAGAATAATGATTTTAAAGAGATGATTGTATTTTCTCTCCCCTCCTTACCAGAGCATTTTCACCTGCAGTCGGAAAGTCTGATCAATCCTCTCATGAAGACCATTTCCCACCAGCACTACCGAGTCCGTGTTGCTGTCGTTCAAGCTACGGGAGCAGTGATACAGTTCGGCAATGTGAAGTCTCTGGATGACGTGCTTCCTCACTTAGCTCAGAGGTGTTTTGATGACATCCCACAGGTAACTTTGTTTGGCTAGGTTTTAATCTCAGCAAATCTTCCTTTACAAAAGGGAGGGGGAAAGTGTGTCTCCCTCCGTATTGATGGACTGGCTGCAGCTTCCATTAATTACGTCTCGCCAGCGGCTGGGATGCTGAGGCTGATGGAGGTGCCAGTCCCACAACATTGGGAGGGCCACAAGTTCCTCAGTCCTGGCCGGCAGATATGGCTGAGAGATGAAATGTAATACGTGGCATTACTCTTGAACAGATTTCCCTTCTTTTCTCTGCCATTAGTTTAGTGACTGTTGTTGGTCAATATCTGTGGTTAGAGATGTGTGCACAAATCTGTGGTGTACATTCCAGAGGAAAAGAAACTTTCTGCTTTTACTCTCCTTTTCTCAAAACATGTGCTTAAGTACTCTGTCATTGTAGTTATATTTCTCTTTCTGAAGATCGATTCAGTGAAAAAGTAGGACTCTTGAAAAGCTTAGCAGCCGGATTCTGTTGTACCATAACTTGTCTTTACATGCCTATAGAGGTAGAATGCGCTATATAGTTTTTTTCCCCTTGGTTTGTTTTTTAATAGGTTAGAGAGGCTGTTATCAGTGTCATTGGGGAGTGGCTACTGCACCTGCGAGACCGATATTCTTATTTTCACAAGTTAATCCCTCTGCTGCTCAGCGGTCTTACTGATGAAATGCATGAGAACAAGTAAGCAGAACGAGGAAAGAACATTTTGAATTATAGATATTTTGGTGCTCCTGGAGACCTTCACAGTAGTTGGTTTTGCAGTTGGAAGGGGTCACAGCCTCCTCCCACCCCAAAATCAAAAACAGAAATAGACATCTGGTCATTTAGAGTTTGAGATTGTTAGTTCTCTTGGTTTTTAAATAAATTCTCGGTTTGTTGCATTTTCTGGGTGGTGCTTGGGGAGAAATTTGACTCCCAGCCTCTTGCCTATGAACATTTTTACAGAGACTATCAGAAAACGTGCACGACTGGGATTCCTGATAGTGCAAAAGTCTTTATGTGAATGGCTGTATTCGCAAAACCATCCGTTTTGTAGACATTTCAGTCAATATGTAGGCGCTGTTGGGTGCAAGATGCCAGGGGCAAAACTCCACATATTTCCTGTATATGTCAGCCTCAGCATTTGTATAAAGCCATCTTCTGTGCTTGTAGCAGTTAAGGGAAATGAATTATTTTCAGTTCTAACCAGACTGTTTATTCACACACAGAATCTTTTAAGAAGCAAGGTTTATTCAGATAAAATGAGGAATTTCTTGACTTGACGAGAGGTGCTCCAAAGTAAAATTTCTTAATGGGTGGCAGGGATGGTGGGTGAGCTTTGATGTCCAGTTGATTCTAAATTTGTGCCTTTCAGTTTACTGTGCTAATAAAATTCAAGAGCTTGGATATGTCAAACCGTTCCCAATAAACAGCCACAATCCCCTCTACTCAGGCAGAGAACAGACTCACAGAATCAGGGAGGTACGTGGTCCTCCCTGGCACACTTTACTGGGTGGCATCTGCTGATCTGGGTGGCATCTGCTGATCCCTCACCTTTTGATGACTCTTGGCGGAATGTGTGAACCATCTCTTTTCACTGAAGCATACCTGGCTTGAGTTGATCTTAGGCACTACTGAAGTGGGGCTGAATCTGTTATAGCTCATTCACACACAGAGAGTCACTCAGTGTTACAGTAAAAACCAATGCAGTCCTTGTGAAGTTTGAAACACAGCAATTGTTAGATCTTGCCTCAAAGATGTGGCTTTTAAGAATTGCTATCTACAGGTGAGTTCAAAATGAATTATAGTTTTTGCCTTTTGCGAAAAGCATCTTTCATTATATTGCTTATAATGCAGAATACAGTACGTGTTATGGTTTTGTTTTACCTTTAGGGAGCTAGCTCTGACATATTGGAAAAAAGTTGGTTCGCAATGGGAAAAAGAAAATGAAGATGATATCAAAGATAAGTGTGACTTCTGTTGTGAGCCGTCTTTTTATCCTCAAGGATGTGAGTATAGTGCAAAATACATGCAAATTGACAGTCTCCAGCCCAGATCTCTAGCATTTAAGTGTTTGATGTGGAACACTGCCTCTTAAAGAAAAAATGGAATAAAGCACAAAAGAATATTTAGAAGTTAATACTTACTTTTAAAGTTTGAAATATGATATAATAAAGAGGTACACTGCCAAACAAAAAACAAATGTTCCTTGACATGTAATCCTTACTTCCTGAGAATAACTCTGAGCCCACAGGGTACCCAATGTTGTTCTGGAGAAAGAAGATGAAGATTATAGGTGGCTACGAGCCAGATGCTTTGCTCTGTCAACATCCACACTTTAAAAAAAAATCAAGAAACTGACAGGAGAAGGAGTCCCTGATTGGTGAAAATGGAAATGCCGGCCAATGCTATAATGGGAGCCAACCCTCCCCAAACCTAAAACTAAAGGGAATTGGAAACAATCAATAGAACCAATGGAAAAGAGCAGTGCTGTTTGTTTAAAATATTTTTTTTACCCCACCTTTCTCCTTAAAAGGACCCAAGGCAGCTTATATTATTAGAAAGTCAATAGTGAAAAGCTAAAAACTGTAAAGTATACAAATATTTTAAAATAATTGAATAAGCCTTATATTTAAAATGGTAAGTGAAATTAATATTGAAAACAAATCTAAAAGCAACAGAGCACAACAAACCATTTCTAAGTCCGCTCTCAGTCCACCAGTCAGTAAGGAAAAGCCTTCCTGAAAAGAAAGGTCTTCATCTGCTTGCAGAAAGACAGCAAAAATGGGGCCAGGCTGGCCTCCAGTGGGAGGGAGTTCCAGAGTCTGGGAGCAGCGACAGAGAAGGCCCTCTCCCGTGTCGCCCTCAAGCACACCAAGTTTCAGGATGAGAAAAAAGAGGGGAATTCTTATCGGCTACTTGTAAGAACAAAGCTGATTTTTAAAAAAAACATCTGGAAACTTTGTCGTTTTCTTTGTCCTCTGTGGAGGGTCTAACACAACTCTGCCGGTTGTTCTTCCAAGACAGACACAGACAAAAGGAGAGAGAGAGAACCTCTACCTGCCGGAGGTTATTGCTGTTACTCGATACATTGTGTCAGTCTATAATATTAATTTGGTTGCCATGCCTATTTCAGCCACAGAGAAAAGCTTTCAGGAACTCATCCAGAATGGATGCTTGGTTCATTCACATTTCTTTCTAGCCCACACATATTTTGATGCAACTACAGATATTCAAGAAACTTACCCAAGCTCTTATACAGCCATAAAAAGGCTCCATAGTAGGGCAAAACGGCTAGAGGCTTGAGGCAGAGAGCTAATTGTGAGGCCCTGAAGTAGCTCAAAAAGATCCTGGCCTTTATTTCTAACTCAACTCAAGGTCCGTTCTAGAACCTGATTTGTCCATAACGTGATCAGTGTCCTGGCCCAAGAGTTGTGCCTGGATAATAAAGCAGGGGTGTAAAAACTGGAGGTTTTTTTGAGCCTTATTTTTCTTTCTTTTGAACATAGTTTGGAAAAGTGCAAATATAAAAAAGCAGCACTTTTTGGCCCTAAAGGCCTGTTGCTGGTAGCAAAACAACATATTAGAGTTATTAAAGCGCTTTGGAGTTATCATGTGATACCATCCTCAAAACAGTTATCCCGAAGTAGCTCCAACAGTTTCATTTGAGCCTTGAGAGTCAAGGGATAAATTCCAAAACAGGAGATGTACCCCATAGAGTGATACCAAGCCTTCTGGGAGCTGCGTGAGACAATGTTCTTCGGGAAACAAGTGTAGATCACAAGGTTGGGCAATACCCCAACTGCCTCCTTGAACTATCTTTTAGTGTGATATGCCTTCCAACGTCTTCTAATTACATCTCCCAGGGAAAGATTAATAGCAAATAGCAGAGCCTTCTAGGCATTTGACCTAGTAAATTCTTACCTTGTCTGGAAAGAAGATTCATGTTGTGTTCTGATGTGGGTTTTGTGCACTTGTTAACTATAAAATCATGTGGGTGAACTCTTCATCTACTTCTGTGCTCTGCAAAACAAGGCCATAGTGGGTACATGGGATGCTGCCTTATACATTCATTCATTCTAGCCCATTATGACCCTCTCTGACTGGCAGCCGTGGCTGTCCAGGGTTTTGAAGCCAGTTGCTCCAAGGTCATGTTCAATAAGTAGACTTAATGAACATGACTATTTCCCCCCCCCCCCCACTTTCTGGTTGGATAGCTCAATGATGCGGGTCTCTGGCGGCAGAACCAGAAGTTGGGAGTTTGATTCCCTTCTGTGCCTCTTGTAAGAAGAGCCAGCCTGTGTGGCCTTGGGGAAACTGCACAGGGCCAGGGCACTCTCAGAAAAAAAGAAATGGCAAATACTTCTGAACACTCACTATCTGGAAAAACCTGAAAAAGGTTGCCATGAGTGAAAATTGACTTGGTGGGACTTGATTATTATTATTTTCTATATGAGCACCTTAGTTTTCATTTCCAACATTGTATTGGGTTTCTGTGTTAATTTCTCTTGTGACTTTTTCTTTCTTTCTTTCTTTTTTTGCAAATGATTGATGAAGAATGAACTTCTTCACCTCTAAAGTGCACAGCCCACCAGCTTGCTTCCCTGTTCCTCCGCCGCGGCTGGAACCTTTTTCTTTACCCCTCGTCCTTGTAGCTGCAAGCAAAGGAGTCTGACACCTCTTCCTCCCTATGCTTTGATCTCGCATTGTCAGAGATTGCCAGAAAAGAAATTCAATGCCATCCTAACAAGAGAGTGATTTCTACAGAGAAGAAGGGGGGGGAGAGAAACACACACAGATTGCCTTAGGAAAGGGATGTAGACAGGTTAGAGAAATGACAGCTGTGAGATATGTGGATGAAATAGCTGGGTTTGTGCGTCACAAAATTAAGGGAGCTGTTGAAAAGGGCCAGTCAAAAATCTTTTGAAAAAAAAACTGTGCCTCTGGTCAAATAGGATGCCACTCTCTATCTTTGTCTTTGGAGGCAAGATTTCTGTATTTGACCTCTTTGTTGTTTGCCATCAATTTCCATAATCCGAAGGCTCTCTTCCATGACAGAAAGGAACCTCAGCTCGCAGAGCCTTTGAAGTTTCTCTTCTTTAAGTAGGTGCCTCACAAATACTTCTGTGTTTTGTATCCTGTTTAACTTTAACTTCATTTCTTTAAAAAACACACACACACATCCCGGATAGCCACACAAGCAGAGGGTCCTATGCAAAGCTGGGAAATGGCTCCAGGGTTTTCTCTGAGTGAGAGTCTGCCTCTTTTAGTCAAGACCATTTTACACGGCTGTTGTTAGAACTGGATGTCCTTCATTCTAAAATGTATCTCTTGCTTTTGTATTCGATGAAGAAGACTAAAGCTCCAGACAATCAATAGACATTGGGACTCATTTTAAAATGCAGTAGGTTTTAACAGAAAAGTCTAATGACAGAAAAACAAAAATAAAAGCAGGCATGAAGCTTAGAGAATCATAATTGTTCCATAATGTAACCTAACAAGAAATGACACTGCCCATGTAAACACCTCTGCACTCTCCCTCACTGCCACCTCTCTCATCCCTGGAAATAGAGGATTCTCTAAGAAGAGCCTCTGATTAAGATCTTAATGCTTGAAAAAGTGTTGATCATCCTATGCTATGTTTAGAGAATAAAATCAGAGGGGTGTTTCTCTGAGCTGTGTTTGATGCTGCGAAGCCGTGTTCTTAGCTGTTGAAAGGTAAAGTGTCTTTATTTATAGTTACGTTGAACTGCCAATGAATTTTATGCCCTTCAAGAATACAATTTTATGTCCGCGTATAGATATTGCCCAACCATGGCAGTTAATATTTGGGAATTTACCATGCAGGTAGATATTCTTTTGACAGATTTGGAGTCATTTTTCCCTTTAATAATGACATTTTAAAAGGGTTTGAAATGTATTTCTGACTGTTCCTCTATTTGAGCCCTCTCTTTTCCGTTTCTCCCCTGTCCCAGTGACTCGTCCAGAACTAGGGTGCCGGGAGCTTGTGACCAGGAACCTCTCCAAAATACTTCCGGGTCTCTGCCATGATATGAATGACTGGGTTGAAGGCACAAAAGTGAAGGCATCCCAGCTTCTGGTGATCTTATTGCAACATGCCGAGGACCACACGACACAGCACATGGAACTGCTGCTTCGGACTTTGTACCGCGTCTGCTCAGATGAGCACAGAATCATAGTTAGGAATGTAATCGGACTTTGTACCGCGTCTGCTCAGATGAACACAGAATCATAGTTAGGAATGTAAGTACTGTATGGTCATTTCAATGCAGTCCATCAGTGATTCTCCCTAAGTTAGGTAAAGGTAAAGGTTCCCCTTGACATTTAGTCCAGTCTTGTATGACTCTAGGGTGTGGTGCTCATCCCCTTCTCCAAGCTGTAGAGCCAGCGTTTTGTCCGTAGACACTTTCCGTGGTCACGTGGCCAGCGCGACTAGACACAGAACGCAGTTACCTTCCCACCGTGGTGGTACCTATTTATCTAGTTGCATTTACATGCTTTCGAACTGCTAGGTTGGCAGGAATGTGGGACAAGTGTCGGGAGCTTTTGCTTTCGAACTGCTAGGTTGGCAGGAACGTGGGACAAGTGTCGGGAGCTTTCTCTGTCACATGGATTCGATCTTATGATGGCTGGTCTTCTGACCTTGCAGCACAGAGGCTTCTGTGGTTTAACCCACAGCACCACCACATCCCCACAAGTTGTGTACCTGTAAATCACCAACAGGATTCAGGCTATTCATTTTCATGCTACATTACATTTCAAAAAAATGTTGTAATAACATTCAGTAGAAATGGGCATGAACCGACGAACTGAAGCTGGTTTGTTTTTCAACATTTTCATGCTACATTACATTTCAAAAAATGTTGTAATACATTCAGTAGAAATGGGCATGAACCGACAAACTGATGCTGGTTTGTTTTTCAACTGAACAGGTGTTTGCCACTTCCCAGCCCTTCTGAACAAGTGTTTGCCACTTCCCAGCCCTTCCTTCCTCTGCCAGGCGCCACTCAGAGGCAGCGCCTGGAGGAGGTGGGGCAGGAAAGCCAGGGTGCTCCCTCTGAGTAGGTGCCCACCAGAGGAGGTGGGGCTAGGAAGCACTGTTCACCTCTTTGGCCAAAATATGAACAGGAACAAACAAGTGGTTCATGCCTGTCTCTATCAGTCAGTCTTCTGAACAGTTTTATTTCACTTCCAGAAGTTTCATTATTTGGAAAATTTGCACCTGTATGATGGTGGTCCATGGCTAGACATGATGCAGTGACATCCTTGGACTTAAATCCAATGGTTAGATCCATGAAATTTTAGAAAGTCAACACTTACGTAGTTGTCAGTGATTCAGTGGTTTGCTGTAGCTGAGGTTTAGATGTCTTTCTTTGCACGTGATTTTTAAATGCATGAGAAGTGATCCTTAATTGTAATCAACAGATCGGAAACTTCCATTGACACAATTCACCTAAATGTATTTCTCTTTGATTATTATGCATTGATTACTAGATTATGCTTTGCCTGTTGTGCTGGCCAAACTCAGCATTAACAGCCTCTTAGAAATAAGCAAGAGATTAAAGTGTAAATGTCTTAGAGAGATAAATTCCACTTTAAAACTATGTGCAGTTCATGGTTAATTTATCATGTTATCTCTTTTTCTCTGCTGTCTAAATCCTCCCTTAATATTCAGCTATGCCTGTTCCATGTGATGGCCTTAATTGGTGTTCAAACATAGCAAGTTAATGCTTTTTTCCTGCTGTTTTCCTGAATGTGGAAGAAATCTTTAGATAGTCCACTTTGTTTTTGTCGTATATTCCATTTAAAACTTCTGTCTTAAGAACTTGCACATCCTTGTTTTGTGTCATTATTGTGAGCGATAACGTATTATAATGGTGAAAGAATAATATGAATTTTGGGGGATGGTAGTTATTATCATTATTCTTTTTCCCATCCACTTCCCTTCTAAACCTGGTAGCCTTACTGTTATACTACATGTATCTGAAGAAGTGGATTGAAATCCACAATAGCCCACACTGAAATACAGTGGTGCCTTGCGAGACAAATGTAATTCGTTCTGCGAGAAGCGCTGTCTTGTGAAAAAATCGTCTTGCGAAAAGCAGCTTCCTATAGGAATGCATTGCAATGCATTCCTATGGGAACCTCGCTAGAAGAATGAACATTTTTTGTCTTGTGAGGCATCGGTCTCGGAACAAAAATCGACTTGCAAAGCACGGCCATAGAAGAAGCCGTCTTGCGAGGCACCATAGCGATTGAAAAAACCATTCATCTTGCGGTTTTTCATCCCGTAAGGCGTTCGTCTTGCAAGGTACCACTGTAGATCTGTCATAGCGATTGAAAAAAACATTCATCTTGCGGTTTTTCGTCCCGTAAGGCGTTCGTCTTGCAAGGCACCACTGTAGATCTGTTAGTCTTTAAGGGGTTATTTTTGTTTCACTTGCTATATTGTTGCTGTTGTGTCACATCCAATTTAAAGTGATCCTAATAGGGTTTTCAAAATATGTGAGAGCTTTCCTTCTCCCCCTGATGCATCTCAATGGCAGAGTGGGGATTTGATCCCAGTTCTCCTGACTCCTCCTAGTCTGGCACTCTAGCCATGACACTTGACTGGCTGTCTATGTGTTGTCACGTCAATTCCAACTTTTGGGGACCTTTTCCAGGTTTCTTTTTAGATATACAGGACTCAGAGTGGTTTACCACCATTCCCTTCTTCTGGAGCCATCCTAGACTGTGCAGCTTGCCCAAGGCTATGCAAGCTAGCTTTTCTCCAAGGAGATACAGTGGGGAATCAAATTCCCAACTCCCGGCTCTGCAGAAGGTACCCAACCCACTGAGCTATCCAGATGTTCTTTTAAAGAAGAAAGAAAAATAGCACACACAGAGACCAACACAGACATGTTGCATCCAGAGACGTGTTCTTACAAAACCAGAAGTGGACTTTCAACTACTTGCGTTTTCATTGTTTGGGGGGCAATGTGCAGTGGATCCCAGGGTGGGAAAATGACCCTGTACTTTCACAACATACCAAGCTCCAGTGTAGAACACTTTGATGCAGACAGACTAATGATCTGATTAGGTATAAAGCACCTTCCTATCTTCTTCTTGGGCACATTCATACAGGGTTTATTGTTGACTTACAAATTCTGTCTTGTTTGAAAGCAACAAATCGAAACCTCATGTCCACAAACCACAAAAAGTGATCCATTTCGGATTAGCTTTCCCTGCTGTTGAATAGGGAGGACAAAGGTGGGCCCGAAGAAGCTCTGTCCATCAGCGTGCTGCTCCTTAATGACAAGCCAGAATGAATCAGGGATCCTGACTAACTGTTATGTGTGAATACATCCCATTGGTGACTCACAGTAAAGCATTTACTGGTAAATGTAGGGAAAGAAACTGATCTTTCCAGAGTCTCCAGTTATGAAAGAACCTGTTCTCTGCTGAGCTTCAGCGTACAAGTAAATATGAATTGTCTTCAGTCATGTTTTGTCCCTTTGTACTTTCTATCTCAGAAGAAGGCAAGGCTGTTTCTCCTAATACAGTTTTGGAAGTTTTTAAAATATGAAGGCCATATACACTTCTTCCTTTCCTTTAAATTTAGTTCTGGTGTGTGTCTGTGTGTCGAAAGGATATTTAAAAAGAAACCCTTAGTGAATAAAGCCTGTGTGTAGGCTTCTGCCCAATAAGGAGCTAAAATGTTCTGTTAACACTGGACATGACGTGCTTCAATTCTGTGTCTTCAGGATTTTCTTAGCGTTAAGAGGCCGGTGTTGAAAGAAGACATGTGAGCATTCATTTTGAGCTTTCTCGCTACCCTTCAAGAAAACTTTGTCATGCATATAATTAGGAGCGAGGGGAGGAATGGAAAAGCCTACAAGGCAATTTTCTGAAACATTAAAAGAAAGAAAGAAAAGAGCAAGAAAACTGCTGGCATCCTCACTTTTTAATTATTAAAAAAAAACCAAATGGACATCTTATGCTTGATAGAGTCCGGTCAGCTTATGTTATGTGTTCTCCCTTTTCCAGTGTCTGGAAGCAGCAAAGCTGATTGGCGTGTTTGTCAGCCCAGCGGTGTCCCTAAAGTTAATAGTGTCTGATCTTGAGAGAGCGCCTATGCCATCTTACCTTATGGTGCTAGCAGCAGTGATACGAGGTTCGCCAAGGAAGATCTTGCAGCCTCATCTGGTCTACCTTTCTAACATGCTCTCCCAGCCTGAAATCAGTCAACGATCTGAGGAGGTAAGGGGAACCCCCCCCAAAACCCTACAACTCCCCAGGATCCAAACCTTCAGAATCCTTGTACATTAATCTGCCATGGATCCGTAGGCTTTATATTCCCGCACAGCTAATTTTAGGGCTGCCTTCATAACACTGATGATTGCTTCCAGTCAGGAGGGCTTCCATGGCCAGTCTCCATCCTTTTTCATTGGATTTGTTGCAACTGTTGGGGTGAGTCCGAAGTGAGCCTCCGTCGCAGAAAGATTCTCATCTACCCTAAGAGGAAATAGTTTGGACTGGAGCTCTCCAGCTAGAGCATATCAAAGCCGGGCGTGAAACATTCCTTGGGGAAACACATGCCTTGTCAAAAGATTCACTTCTTGCCTGTATTTTTTTTAGGTCTTCTACGTGACCCAGTTGCTTTGCTGCGTGGAAGCTCTCATTGAAGTGTGCCAAGACGACTGTAAAGAAGTAAGCCTGCAACTAACCAAGGTTTTGGTAACGATCATGGCAATACCACCAAACGTTGGACACTTACACGAAAAGGTAATCTTGGAAGAACAGCCATTACGGAATCCTGTCTTGTGTTTTTGAGCCTGCTTTCCTTTGCTTGAAGCAAAATGTCGTTGAACTTAGCAGTCTTTTGCAGATCTAACCTTGGACGTTCATAATTTAGAATGGAAAAGCAGTCTCTTAAAATTTATTATGTATTTATTTAACTTATATGCTGCTCACTCTACCCAAAGGTCTCTGGGCGGAGTGGGAGGGATTGGAGGAGGCAGGAAGCACACCCTGGGCAATTTGAGCCCCTTATGTGTCATACAGTATCTCGTTTCTCAACCATCTGCAGCACCCCTAGGCAGTCCCTGACGGCTTAGTCACATCCTAAAGAAAAAAGGGCCAAGGCATAGTCTGTAAGTTGCCAGCCACCTTTCCTCTAGAAATTTTGGAGGCATCTTCACAGCAGGTTTTCTTTTTCGGGTTGGGTCAGTGGGCATTGAGGGCACACTAGTGACCCACTGACTGAAGGGCCAGAAATGGCACCTGCGCTTGGCAAAGCTGCCCATTCTAGCTTTCCTGGTGGGGAATCCGTGGCCCTCCAGATGTTCATGGACCCCAGCTCCTACCATTCCTGATCGTTGCCCATATAGATGAGAGTTAAAGTCTGGCAACATTTGTAGGACCAAAGCTTTCCTGCTGTGTGCTGTTGCCATGGAGTGACTCACTCCTATGACTCATCAGAAAGACAAAGCTGCTATGTACCGAATTAGATAAGTGGTCCAGTACAGTCTTGTCTCACAGCAATTCTCCAGGGTCTTTGCAGAAGCCTTTCCCCTATCTGGTTGTTTGATTTCCTCCTGGTGGAGGTGGCAGGGGTTGAATCTGAGGATTTTTTTAACAGGCAAAGCCTGTGTTCTCTCACTAAATTATGCTTATTCTCTAAGCCACTGGGTGAAAAGCTGAAAATCAAGACTTACTTAATTATCATTACTAATTATGCACTGTACCAAGTTTCCCCGGCAGGATTTCAGAATCCTGTCTGGGCTTCATTAGAAATCCTTTACGTGAAGCTTCCCTGAAGAGAGAAGATTATCCATAAAGAAGGGGTCTCAAAGGCTAAATTTGCTTTAATCTCCTGGAACTAGCATTGTTGAGAAAGGGCCTCGGTGGTTTTTCCAAAATAATTACAGAAGGGTTGATTGTAGAAAACAGACGCACTCACAGAGAGAGAGAGAGAAAGAAAGAATGATCATAAAGCAAGAGCAAACCCTCCAGACGTATAAACAGTATGATTCCTAGTGTTCAGCCTAGAGCTGTATATGCTTAGGAGATCATTAAAAACGAGCTGCAAATGTTACTGGTCTTTTTAGTATCACCTTCAGGTAGGATTTTTGTTTCTTCTTGGTGTCTGGTTAAAGGATGCAGCCCTGCTTTTGCCTTTTTCACTTCTCTTTGCCAGTTCAACTCTCTGAAGTGTTTCAGTCCTTATTTTAAAATCAGAGGCAAGAGCCCAAGATGCCTCTGGTAAAGACTGGCCTTTTATTTTATTTCATTAGATTTCGTTCAGTTTCATTCCGTTTTTCCACTGATGACTCTCCTGCTATCATAAATCACTCTGTTCCCAAGTCAAATGCCAAATAAATCAAGCACCCACCTTTTTATAAAGCGCTTTGGTGGCCAAAACAAGCTCGGTTCCCTGACCTACTCCTTCATTTAATGCCTGCTTTACTTCCTGCTCTGTTGCTTCTAGGCATGATAACACGAGTTGGTATTTATGACTCTTGTCACACTAAGAGGCACTTTCCAAAAAGTCATAATTTTGAAAGTTAGCTTTAAACTTATGCATTTAGCATAGGTTAATTTTGCATTATTTTATGCACAGGAGTCAGGAAGGGTGACAGATGGTACGAAAATGTTTAAGCTTGTTCCAAAGCCAGGGAGGTCTCAGCCTTCGGTCTGGAGGCCTGCTTGTTTGAAAGAATACATTCCTGAAAGAGTGTGATTATGAAGAAAAGCAGGTTGATAAGACAGGTCTCAAATACCTCTTCAGTGCTGATGGCATTCAGATAAACATACTCTGAGAAGTAGAAGACTTTTCCTAGCTGACGAGTATACGCATTATAATCCTGAGAATCTTACCTTTCTCTCTCTTCTGTGAGGAATATGTTAAGCCTGCTTTACTTTTTTCTGTGCATTCCCTTGCTCATGAGACAGTGTTTTCCACCACAGGTAAAAGCTCAGGCTAGCTGAGGAGGCTTGTTGTGGGTCGTGTAGCATAGATCCCTGTATCCCCGAGCATCTGTTGCATGAGGCACCTGCCTTGCTCTGCCTAATATGAGCTCTTGTCTTCAAGCATGCAGCTGGATATGGACACATTAGGTCAAGAGATCACATCTACTATGTTACTTCCTGTGAGATCCATGCTGTTGTACATTTAGGTACCTCAGTGCTTTAGAAAAATTGTTTAGTTTTTGTTTTGTTTTGGATATACAGTATATTGTTTAAAAGAGGTTCTCTGATTTGTAATTTTCTGACTCTTTTTCTCTCTCCTTACTCCCGTTAAAAAAAATATATATTTTCACATGTTGTGTGTTTGTGTGTGCATAGATAAGAGAACTCCTTGATGCTGAATCCAGCACCTCCTGTTCAGTTGCGTGCAATTCTACTTTCCTTTCTTGCCTGCAATTCTGTGCGAGTAGAGGGTATTAGCAGCTCCTTGCTCGAAGCTTCAGGGATATCTCGGAAGGTATTAAGGCCCCCGTCTTGAAAATGGTAGCTAGCTGGATTGTTGTTAAGACTGGCCACTTCAGCCCCTGTCTTGAAACGAGTCTCCTTGATTCTTTGCCTTTCGTTTCTCCATCCAACAGATAGAGGATGCAATGATTTCATTGGCTAAGGTGCAGCACTTGGAAGGCATTGTTGGCCTGTACCGTCAGCATATGGCTCAGCTTATGGAATGGGTATCTTTAACTCATGATAGCTGGACGTGCTACTCTCCAGAATTGCTGCAGCTGGATGTCATTGCCACTCATTCAGGTAACTGAAGTTCTTCTCCCAGCCACACAGGAGGAGCATGAAGTATATGTTACAGTGGTGATGTTTGTTTCGAAATGTACTACCCCAGATCACTCTCTGGGCAGTTTACAGCATGATTATGCAAACAACTGCTTGCCTCCCAGTAAGCCGGGTATTCATTTTACTGACCTTGGAAGGATGGAAGGCTGAGTCAGTCTGGAGCTGGCTATCTGAGCCTGTTGTGAACTCAAATCGTGAGCAGAGGTGTGGCTGCAGTACTGCAGTTTAACTGCTGCTCCACAGTGCTCATATATGAGCCCAGGGTGCTGTTTGGCTGCCCTCTACCTTGCCCAACAATGCTAAGGTATTTGCATATGAAGGTGATCCTGTCTTTGGGGCTTGCCACCCCAAAAGCCAATAGTTTAATTCATTTTGCAGGTTTTTCCTGTTTCCAGTGCTAAGTCCTTTGGTGTGAGGGCATGCTAGTTGTATTGAGTACAATACATTGGTTCAGATTGGATCGTTATGTTTGGGCAACTCCGGTTGTGCAAAAGGTTTCGCTTTCTTAGCCACCTTGCATTTGCACAAGGGGGTTCTTCCATCTGTGGAAGATTGCTCAGGGGGCTGTGCTTGTGCAGTCTTCTGCAACTGTGGATAAGTGTGGTCCTTAATAAATGTCCCTGAGTGGCTGCACAACAAGGATAACCCACTCAGAGATTCCCTTGTGTCGTTGTTTCGTGCAGCAGTGCCACAGAGGACAGTTACGTGCATAGATATGTATGATGCATGAACACCAAATAGGGTCTTGGCCAATGATTCCACTTCTGTGTCTTAGGCCCTGTAATAGGCGAAGCGCTTAAGGATTTTATTTGCATCCTTAAAACATGCCTCCAGACATCCAGAGATGCCCGAATGCGTCTGAAGCTGTTCTCGACCTTATCCCAGCTGCTTCTAAAACCGAATGAGACTCTCAATTCTGAAGGGTAAGAGCTGTTCCATGTCATTGAAATACTTTATTGCACTTTCTATGCTTTCATGAGAAGATTATTTGGTTCTTATCTCGCTTATAGCTGTTCTCACATGCAGTATTGTGGATATTATATAAAAACACCGTGGTAGCATCAAAGAGATTGAGGATAACAACAGTCCAATTCAAAATGAATTATAGATCTCCAGTTTTGCATCCCAACTTCTGGCATGGTTTTAGAGCCATGCTTTGGAGTTACGCAGGCCTTGAAACTTCTGAAGAAATGAAGCTCCTAAACTTACTGGGACTTAGATAGGAATGTTCCAGTAGGAAATGTTCTATGCAGCCATTGTGTATATTGCAGAAAGCATGTGTAGCGTAGACTTGAGTTCATTGTCTCTCACCAGCCTTTACTTCTGCACACTGTATGGCAACACCATATGGAAATATTACTTTCTATAATAAGATTTCTGCCCGTGAATGTTGAGGCACACAGGATGTATGATGAGGAAATCAGGGGAAGCCCTTGGGGTATGAAATTATTAAAAAGGGATGGGCCTGGCTTTGGAGAGAAGCATGGGAAGGTAGTTCCAGAAGCTGCTGCTGCTGCTGCCGCTTCTGGCTTGACGCCAAAGCTTAGACACTAACAGAGTTTAAAGCCAGACAACAAGCTCCAGCCTGTGCCAGATCGCATGGCACAAGGCAGAACCCTTGGCATTCCACAACTTCAGGTCTTAGTGGTGGTCAGGGAAGGCTTCTGAGAAATCTCCAAACAGCAGTGAGGTGGGTGACTGCCAGATGAGCTTAGTCACTCTGTCGGCCCTAAGAACAAAAAGGCCTGCAGGTGGATCAAAAACAAAACCCTATGGTAATCTTAACCTGGTAGAATCTAATCATGATAATGATGTGCTGTCAAGTCGATTCCTCCAGGCTTTTCCACTCAGAAGTGTTTACTAGTCCTTCTTCCGGGCTGTACAGCTTGCCCAAGGCCATTCAGGCCAGCTCTTCTTCTAGAAGGCCTAGTGGGAGATCAAACCTCTGAACCACCACCCACCCCCGCTCCAACCCACTGAGCTATCCAACCCACAAGGCTGTGCTAGGTGTTCAAACCAGAACTCCTGTGACTGGATTAGAGACCCTGGCTTTTCTCAAAGCAGAAACATTAGGATCCTAACCCCTTCCTTTCCTTTCCTTGAAATAGAATTGTCTTCTTTGCTTCAAGTCAGTTTTTAAAGCAGCATGCATTTAGATTTTTCCAGAAAGCTGATCACAACACTTTTGTGTAGGATCCTTTGCTTCTGGGCCTGGCTTTGTGCTTTTGGCAGTTACGTAACAAACAGATGAGCCTCTGGCGTGGCTATTTTCACAACTAGCCCCATTTTGGGAGAACCGACACCTGTAGATTTTCAGTTAGTTTTGCTGCTATTGCCGTCCTCTGTTCAGAAAAAGACACTGCAGTCCTGTTTTCAGGAGAAGTTGTACTGAAGTCGGTGTGCATACCCCTACAGGTTAAGAAATGCATATGCATAAGATGCAGCCCACTGATTCATCAGATCTGCTGTAATAAACAATTTATGCTGTGGAGGTTTATCCAATTCAGCTTCCTTCTTTTGGCTCAGATGTCCTTCGTGTATTTTATTCTGTTTAAAATTTGCAAAAGTTGCTACGCATTTTTCAGCACCAGGTCAAGGTCTGCAACTCTTTTTACTTACATGGTATTGTCCTTTTTTCCTTCTGTTTTTCTTCTCTTGTCTTCTAAAGATGTAAAATCATGTGCTTTGGAGGAAAGAAGATGTTTTCATTATGTTTCTACTACTGCAAGTTCATGGTAATGGTATTTTATAAATAGAGTGGTGCCTCGCTAGACGATGATAATCCATTCCACTGAAATCGCTGTTTAGCAAAATCATTGTCTAGCGAAAAGCATTTCCCAATTGGAATGCATTGAAACCTGTTTAATGCATTCCAATGAGGAAGAATCGTCGTTGTCTGGCGAAGATTGGCCATAGGAAAACCGCATTGCGAACCGCCGATCAGCTGTTTAAATCGCTGTCTTGTGAAGCTTAGGTCCCTGTTTTGTAAGCGCAGAGGGAGCTGTCAAAATCATCATCTAGTGAAAATCGGTTTGCGAAGCAAGGACCAAACATTGTCAAGCGAAATTCCCCCATAGGAATCACTGTTTTGCGAATCACTATAGCGATCGCAAAAAGTCAATGTCTAGCGAAAAAACCTGTCATGCGGGGTAACTGTCTAGCGAGGCACCACTGTCTGAGAAACAATATTGGGGAGACAGGAAGGTTTAGTGTAAGTCTCCATATTTGAAGAACTACCTCATCTTTTTAGGGAGGTGTACACTTCCATCTAGCAGCAGGATGAGAAAAAGAGACAGCTAATGGTTAAAACTGACAGACTCCAGTGTACCTTTTTAGCTCTTGAGCAGACATCTCCTTTTGCTGAACAATTTGGCAATGTTATTCCTGCTTTGCTTCACAGATACTTAAAAAAAGGAGGAGAGTAAAGAATTCTAAATGTTATTAACCTTCACAGAGAACATTCCATTGCAGGCGAGTAAGTGGCTCTGCTTTAAAAAAAATAAAAATCTCTTTTGTGGCTCTGACACATTTTATTTAAGGGATTAAAAGAAGCCATTAGCAGAAATGTGTAAGTTCCCAAGGGTCATTTAGCAGAGACCACCTTGGAGCTAAGCATGGATTTCGGGTGGGAAATCACAGAAAAAAAACCTCAGCCACGTAGATTATTTAATTATTTTAAAAAAAATGGCAGTGAAAGCTCACTCTACCTGAAAAAAAAAGACTGTAGGATTGAAAAGGGTACAGGAAGGGTCAGCCAAAATCAAGTCCTCTACAAGGAAATTGTCTGCAACATTTAGGGATGTTTGCTAACAAAAAAAGACAAGTGAAACCATGATAGAAATGCATAAAATAATGCATGTTTTGGAAAAGATAGGGAGTTTTTTTCCTTCTCTGATACAGTAGAACTTGGTGTCAACCACTGAAGCGTTGAGCAACTTAAGAGAGGTAAAAGGAGGAACGTCTTCACATATAACCCATAGATAAACCATGGAACTCACTGCCACAAGATATAAGATGCACCAGTTTAATTGCCTTTGAAGGGGGATTGGACACATTCGTGGAATCTGGGCTGTCAGTGGTAACAAGTCATGATGACTATATATTACTTCAAGCAGTAGAAACATGATGCCTCTATATACCAATTGATGATGAACAGGAGAGAGAGAGAATGGAGTTGCACTCACACTACTTGGTTTCACATGAGGTGCCATGAGTATAAGCAATCATTAGGGTTCACTACCATTCGAGTGGAATGGTGGATTGAGTAAGCGTGTCGTTGCAGATGTTTTCCTTGCTAATTGATGTCATTACGCTGCCCTTTCCCCGAATGGCTGTTTCATTTGTTGAATGATCTTTTTCCTGCCACCATATTTTATTTACATTTGAAAATCTGTGAAGCCACTGCTGAGAGATCACCAGTGTAGTCACAGAATCAAATTATGTCTTTTCCAGAATGGAAAAACTGACTGCAGCTTGCGAAGAGAGCCATCCATGAACAAGTGCACCGGTTGTGTTTCATTGTGCGTATGTGCTCATGCACATGCGTTGCATGCCTCGTGGAAGATGCAAAAATACAGTTAATGTTGACAGCATGCAAAAACATAACCCTCCACATCATGGTGGCAGGACACAGTTGGCTGCATCGACATGTACAATAGCTTTAAGGGGCTATCATGTTCCTCCCTGAGCCTTCCATTCTTTTGGTCTTCAAACCGTAACTGTCCTGATATAGTTTAGGAGAGCTGCAAGAATATCATTTGCTGGCAGAAACCTAATATGTTCTAGCATATCTAGATAAGACTGATACATTTTCAATAGGATATGGGTTTCAGTTTGAACCCAATTCTTGTTCTGTTGGGCCACCCTCTATGTTTTTAAAAGCAAGATTGTCACACCAGATTGAAGTTGATTAAGTGATTTGCTGCGGGGTTTGATACTAAAAACTGCTTGCTGTTTTCACTCTTGATTCTTGAATGCCACCTGCTGGAGGGAAAAAAAACATTTAACAGAACTGGGAAGTCAATGTGATGAGGGCCAGTTCACAAGATGTTTACCCTGTTTCCCCCCAAAATAAGACCTAACCTGAAAATAAGCCCTAGTAGGATTTTTCAGGATGCTTGAAATAGAAGCCCTACCCCCAAAACAAGCCCTAGTTAAGTGAAACCCCGCCCTCCACCCTTGTGCAGCAACCAGAAGATGACATTAATGTAAAATAAAACATCACCTGAAAATAAGCCCTAATGCGTTTTTTGCAGCAAAAATTAATACAAGACCCTGTATTATTTTCGGGAAAACGTGGTAGTAGCCATGCAAAATTCTAGATGGGTAGACTCTTGGTCTGTGGGTAGTGTGTTGTTGACAACAAGTACCGTGAGCATATGCATTCATTATATACAGCAGTGCAAACATGTTTTCCAGGATTTGCCAAAGCAAGTCTGTTTGATCATGTCATTCTTAACACTTGAGTATGACCACCAGGCCTGGGAAAGTAGCAGTGCAAGTGATTAAAATGTAATTATTTTGCATATTTAAATAGTAAATGTTAGAAACCCTGGAGAATCTATTTCTTTGTGGCCACATCCTTACTTAGCGAACTATTTGCAAAAATAAGTCCATGTATTGCATTGCCATTGCCTATGCTTTTGGCGGGGGGGGGGGGGAGAATTTTCTTTCAGATGGAGGCACACCTCTGTCATAGACCTCGATCTCTGTATTGCCTTCTTTGGAAGGAGAAGAGAATCTCTGTAGACTCCTTGCATCAGAAGAAAATAGGGGTGTTCTGCTCAGATGAGAGGAAGCACGTTTGAACATCTTAAAAAATGGTCCTCCTTCTGACCGGATACTGAGGAAGGTTGAGGTTTGAATTAAGACTATAAGAGCCACACGCTCTCTATGTATTATATTCTGAAAATGTGTTTCTCTCTTGTATACATTGAATCCTCAGCAGGTGAATGAGGAGTAGCAGGATTCTGAGATACCAGAGAGAGCCTGGAGCTGAAATGATTCCTGCTTCCTTGTGATGCTGTTTATACCAAGTCCACTTATTTTACCCTCAAAATTTAAGTAATGAAATATTGCTAACATACCCTGTCATCAGTGATGCTATTCCCCCTCTCCTCGCTTTCTCTTTCATGCTCTGTTTCTTCCTGTTCTGGCGATCTTGTTTTCAAGACCCAAAAGCACGCCTTTTCATCCTCCCGGTTGTTCCATCACGTTTGCACAAAGCTTTTATTCTGCTCTTCTTTGTTCCTGGCTTCAGGCGGTTCTGTAACTACCTTGAGATCCTGATAAAAGACATCCTGGCTCCGAATCTGCAGTGGCAAGCGGGAAAAATAGCAGCTGCCATCCGCACCACCGCAGTGTCCTGCCTCTGGGCTCTTATTTCCAGTAAACTCCTTTCTCCAGAAGAGGTAAACTTCCCTCTCCCCACTTGTCAACTGTACTGTAAAAACAAGAATAGAATTATTTGTCATCCTAAAACCAGCCAACCAAAGATAAAGTTAAGCTGATTCCAAAATACAGCCAAGGAAGATAAGTTTAGTATATATTTCTAACTCAGTAGAAAAGAGAACTAGGATCCAATAAGAAAACAGCGAAGTCATAATATACTGGGGTAGGCAATATGCAGGGCTTGAAAAATTTGAGAATGTCTCACCAGTCAGTCAAAAATTTCACCAGTCAGCATGACCGGACTGTAGCTTTGCAATTTATTGGGGTTGGGAATCACTGATTTATACCTTCAGACTTGGGTTGCTTTATTACCTGCATGTCTGTGGAATCATGAAGCTTGTATTTTGAATGCCTTTCTTTTGAATGTCTCCAGCAAAAATAAAACTGAAAGCAAAATCACAGGGCCTCTTAAGGAGCCAGTTTCCCCCCACTCCAGGGTGTGTCCTCGTTCGGTTGAAATTGGGAGCAGGGAATCTCCATATTCTCCACCATGGGACTACTCTACAAAACTATATCTCTATGTGCCGTTCAAACTCTCTTCTCACAAGAAGAGGGCAGTTTTCCTTTTGCATTGGGAGGGGGAGGGGAGGACTGCAGGATTAGAGAGAGAGAGACAGGCGGAGGGGAAGGAGGCAGACAGGGAGAGAGCTGTGAGCAGCATTTTTCACTCGTCACAGACAAGTGGACAGGAGCATTTTTCAAGCCTGGGCAATATGTATAGTAAAACATAAATTTTATGTATGTTGTATAGTTTTTTAGGTAGAGTGGTGTCCTGCTTTAAGATTTAGACATCTAAACAGTTTATAAATATTTGTTAATAATGTAATAAATAATAGACATTGAGAAGGGCAGCATCTTGAAACTGTTTGCCTGCCGAAGGGCTGTGTGAGCCCCTTTGTATTTGTAAGGGTTTTTTAAGAATGTAAGTTTGTAACCTGCTTAGTTCTGCTGAAAGCTCATGCACAGTAAAAATTGAACTCTCTAGAAATAATTGTAAAGGGCATGATCTGAAATTATCGTTTGGCCTTTCACATTTAAGTGAAAGTGTATACGAACCAGCACGAACCTCCGAACTTAGGTTCAAGCCCATTTTTTTATACCCAAGGCAATAAAACTGACATAGCTGACAGACTAAACAATTTGATTGATTAGATCACAGATTCTCCTTAGGGTGAATATAGGACACACACATATCACAGCCATATAATTTTGTTTCTAAGTAAATATTATATTGCATAATTAAATACAATAATGACTTTTATCCCAAATCAGTAGTGTTGTATGCAGTAGCATTTAGGAGAGACAGAGCAAGAGAAAAACAAGGGCAAAAAAGGAGAGACAAATGTATATGATAGATATGGTTGCAGGATGAAATTAAGGTAGGTTTGGACTTGAATATGGCTTTAGAACATAAATTTGAACATGAGCACCATCTTCTGGAATATGGAAGAAATGCTAACTTGAATGCATTTAATGGACTTTCCAAAAACCTGCTAAAAGACCGGGCCATCAGGAAATGCTAACTTGAATGCATTTAATGGATTTTCCAAAAACCTGTATTCTTGAAGGCTTTCACAGCCAAGATCTGATGGTTGTTGTGGGTTTTCCGGGTTGTTTGGCTATGTTCTTAAGGTTTTTCTTCCTAACGTCTCACCAGTTAGGAAGAAATGGCTTGTTCTTAAGGTTTTTCTTCCTAACATCTTACTAGTTAGGAAGAAATAGCTAAGCAGCCCCGAAAACCCACAACAACCATTAATTATTATTGGTTGAGTTGCTTCTTTTATGTTCAAAGCATGAGCTCGATTCCCTCCAAAAATATTTGCATCCCATGGAGATGAGATGATGATTATTCAGGAAACAAAACACTCTTGAGAAATCATGAGCATGGCTGGGATCCAGCAAGCTCCTCTGGGCACACCAGTGGGGCAAGCTCATCCTGAATGGAATTTTCAAATCCAAACCTTTGACCCAGACGTCAGATCACAAAGTGCATTTGAAAGTCAGCTTTGTTTCAAGAGCAGTTTTCCATGCAGCGTAAAGCTGTGAGCATGATGTGTGTGGCTGCTACTCTATGAAAAATATAAATCTAACCAGCACACCTTAGGTTGTATGAGTTGCTTTGGAGCTCACCTTTCAATTGTTATTTTTACTGCCTCTGTGCAATAAACCCCAAGTTAAAGAATCAGGAGCAAGCATTATAACTACATGTCCTTCCTTAAAATGTATTTCCACACACATGGTTCCTTTGCTTGGTTTTCTTCCATTCCTATCAACACAAAGCCCCCCCCCCCCGGTCTCAAAACACAGAGACACAAAATACTGAACAGTGCCGTTCAGATTTGCTTCTTTTCAGTGGTTACAGCAGAATCGATGATGGAAACTGAGCTGGTTGCAAATGGCTGAGAGCTTCCTCCTCTACAAACGTCCCAAGCTAGTGGTTCCTTTGCTTGGTTTTAGATGCAGCGCGTTGGAGAGGAACTGTTGCCTAAGATATTGACCACACTGGAGGACGATTCTAAAATGACCCGCCTCATGTCCTGTCGGATTATGGGCACACTGTTAGATTGCTGCGGAAAACAGTTTGATCTTGTCAAAATTTGTCCAGGTAGGAAATACGCCAATTGATAGTTTTCATTCTCAGGAGTACGGAAATGTGCGTACGGAAGTATGTGAACATTCTCGTGTTCCATGGTTTGGTTTTCCCTTCTCATCTGTAAACTGCAGAACAGACAGTAAAGGGTGTCGGAGAGACAGAGTGGAGGGAACGCCTGTTTCCTTGCCATAGCCAGGACTATGGGTCTTTTTGTTCCTATATGCTCATGCCATAGGCTGGCCATTACTATTTATGGTATGTTTCAAAAAAGATATCAGTGTATGAGCCAGTGTACTGTAGTGATTAGAATACTGAACCAGGAATCAGGACGTCCAGGATCAAATATCCACATTGCCATGAAACTGATTATCTGGCCATGGGTTCTATCACACCCTCTCAACCTGATCTACCGCACAGTGCTTTACGAGGGTGAAGGCATGTACAGAGCCTACAATGGCAAGAAAAGCAGTATATAAAATAAATAAAGGCAATAGCTGGTATGTGGATTTCTTCAGAACATGTTTTGCATCTGTTCGTTCCTCTTTAGTTCAGTATCAATGCTGTTGCTTCTCTTGCAGAACTTTTAAATCGTTTGGAAGATGCCTCCCGTGAGGTCCGTCTAGCTGCTGCGAATGCCTTGACCTGCTGGTTTAAATGTATCAGTGAGAAGGAAGAGAAAGTCCTGTTGAAAGATAACATAGAGACTACCTATCGGATATTGTTGAGTCACCTGGATGATCCTGATCAGAACATCCAATCTGCCACCTTAGGTAAGCCTTTCAAAAAAATGATGGGTTTCAGAAAATGTGCATTATATTCTTCAGAGAAGCTGATGTAACGTCACACAGCATGTCAAATAATCAGAAAATAATGGAGGAGTTACTTGCCCTTCAGGGTGTAAGGGGAAGTACCTTGAATTGGAGATCCTTGTGCTCTGTGTGAGATTTGGTTGGCCTTAATGCCAGGGAACAGAAAGACATCAAACATAGACTTGGAGGACTTTTTTTAAAAAACCCTAGATAATAAGGAAACTATGACAGTTGTGTTTTGCATAGGCATAAATATCTTAGTTAAATTCTCCAGCAATTTTGGAGTAAATTCAAGTGTGTTGTATCTTCAAAATATAGGACTATGCTAGTTTTAACTGGAATAGTTCATCTAATGTACCTATCCGATTTTTCTGTCTTAGAAATAGCTTTCCCAGATGTTTTCTCTTGCACTGTGTGATTGTACAGTAAGGTGCCTAGGAAACGAGGATTTTTGCATGATTGTCTCTATATGTGTGATTTTGTTTCAGTTGGATTTTGCCCACTATATTTATCTAGGATGTTTCTCTACAAAAGTTGAAAAATCCTAGCTTAAAGATCTGGACTAATTACACTGAATTTCCAATGGGAAAATTTAGGTATGCCTACCCTGTTTCCCCCGAAAATAAGACCTAACCTGAAAATAAGCCCTAGTATGACTTTTCAGGATGCTTGTAATATAAGCCCTACCCCAAAAATAAGCCCCAGTTAAGTGAAACCCCGCCCTCCACCCTTTTGCAGCAACCAGAAGAAGATGGCATGACTGTAAAATAAAATATCCCCTAAAAATAAGCCCTGAAGTGTTTTTGGAGCAAAAATTAATATGCAGTGATGCCTCGCTTAGCAACGTTAATTCGTTCCAGGAAAAACGTCACTAAGGGATTTCGTCGCTAAGCGGTTTTAAAAAGCCCATAGAAATGCATTAAAATGTGTTTAATGCGTTCCTATGGGCTTAAAAACTGACCTTATGCGAAGATCCTCCATTGCGGCAGCCATTTTGGGTGCCTCTAAAGCGAAGCAAAACAGCGGGTGGCCATTTTGTTTACCTGGCGGCCATTTTGGAACTGCCGATCAGCTGGCTGAAAACGGAGGCTTTGCGATGACCACTTCCATGTGATCATCGCAAAGCGATTTTTCCCCATAGGAAACATCGCAAAGCGATCGCTCTTGCGATTGCAAAAACAGCGTCGCAAAGCGATTTCGTCGTTCAACGGAGTGATCGGTAAGCGAGGCACCACTGTAAAACCCTGTCTTATTTTTGGGGAAACACGGTAATACCCACTGGTTTGAGTGGAAGCAGTTTCTGACTAACTTAATCTGGAAGCAACTCATTGCACCTAACAGCTGGCAACTTAGTGCCATATTTTTTTTAAGTGCAATTTTCCATTTTCACTCCTATTATACCGAGTAGACTACCCTTTTCACAATGTTTTAGAGCTGAACTGTTGTTTACGAAAATATTGTCATTAAAAGAAGAAAACTCCTAATTGAAAAAAGGACACACTTGTCTTAATAGCTTTTCTCCCCTCCCCCCCCAAATCTCTCGCGTTTTTCTTGATTTCCTTTGGTCTTTGGTACTTTAAAATGCTTTTGTTTAAAAGCCTGATATCTCAGGCATACAAGTCATGTTTCTGGAACACGGGTCTGAATGCAGGCCAAACAAGGGGCAACATACAGTTTGGCAATGAGACCAAGGCACACCCCTCTAGGCTTCAACGGCATTGAGAAATCTCTCTGTAGGCAGCAGTATAAATGCCAGTCACACACAGCCATTGGCGAGCCTTTTCTAAGTCATTGGAAGCAACAGCTCACAAATAATGGACCTTGGTCCAAAGAGAGGGAGGGAGGGAACTAGAATCCACCTACTGCAGGGACAGCCTGAACCCAGTGGGAATTTTGGTTTGAACAACAGGCACCCACCCACTCTCCAAATGCCAAACCATAAAATGGTTTTTGGAAGTGTTCTGTTTCAAAACGAAGCCATTAGCAAGCAGTTCAGGAAGCAATTTTTAAAGAAATGTAATTTGTCAGTTTACCTTCAGAGCACAGATATAGTTTCCATGTCTCCCTGAATTGTGGCCGTAGTACTATTTATTTCGGGCTGCTGCGTAAAGTTTATAAAAGGCCTCGCTTCAGCAGAAAATTTTGTTTGCTTACTTATTTAAATCATTTATATATTTACACGTAGTTGAAAAGTGCCCACAGTAGTTTATACGAGAAGTAGAACGACAGTTCCCGTCTTCAGTCTTACAACTTATACTGAGCACATGACGCATAGCAAAAAAAAAGAAAGAAAAAGAAAGAAAGAAAGAAAAGAAAGAAAGAAAGAAAGAAAGAAAGAAAGAAAGAAAGAAAGAAAGAAAATGGGAATGGAGGGGAAAAATTATGCTTTTAATGAGCACTTGAATAGAAATAATTCAGGCAGCCTGCTTGGAAGTCTCCAATTTTAATGTAGGTCAGTCTTCTGCTGAAGCTACTGGCAACTGCAGTAGTTGCTGAGGTCATTTCTTACAGACCAGCAGTGAGAATACTTTAATGTCATGCATATAATACAAGTTTCTAGTTTTTATTTTTATCTTTGATATGATCAGCCTCTTATATTTTCCAGCAACAGAACTAAATTACTCTTCCTATTATGGAGAACTGCCTTTCTGATATCACTTAATAATCTAAATATTTGGTTTCCCAGTATAAATCTTACTAGGAATGGAGACTGTTTTCAGTCTCCACATAATTGGACCATCCCAACATATAAGGACTGTCATCTCTGAACATTCTGTTTTGGAGAATGGCTCAAATGCACCATGAAATCGAATGGAGGGCTTCCTTGAAATGATTTTGGATCACTGTTCTTGAATTCTTTCAGAAAAATGCAATGTTTTTTGTACCACGAGTCCTATGTTTTGACAGAAAATGGAAAGCAAAGGAGGATTTTCGTAACTGTCGTATGTTTTGCAGACGTTTTGAAAGAAGGCGGTGTTCTCTACCCAGACATCTTGGCAAAAGAAATTAAAGCCGTTGTGTACAAACATCGCACTCCGACCTACTGCGATCAGCTGCTGTTGCACATGGAATCAACAGGCTGGAGAGACTCTGGATCTTAAGTGCCTCCGTGACAACACACAAGCTCCATCATATATCAGGAACGGAGCCATCTAGTTTGTACCAGGGAAACTTGGCACTTCAATAAATGACATCATTTAAGCTGGTGCTGGTTGGTTTTCCAATCTGTAGATACCATTTTTAATTAAAATAACAGGATGTTCTAAATTGTTTACAGAAAATATTTGAATGATAGGTGAATAAGGGTGCTTCCTATAAATGTGTTCTACAATATAAAGATACCACAGTGCTGAAGAGCCTCGGTTGGCCTTAGGTGGCTGGGCTGCCCAGACTTGGTGGAGAGAGCTGTCCGTCTTCAGGAGGGGAGCACAACCGGAAGGGGCCACCTCTTGCCCATGACGCACCACACATTCGTGGGGAACCCAGTGCTAAATCATTCGTAGTTGATCTCGTCCTACAACTGCAGGCTCATGATGGCACTTCGATGATATCACCACATACGGTCCAGTTCTATCTCTTACAAGTTTCTGTGCCGCTAATAGGAGAAGATCTTTTGGTTCTGAGACACTTACCCAGCGGCTGAATTGAAATCTAGAGCCCTTTTAAATGATTGCTGTTGTAATTTTCAAGCATGAAGCATTTCTGTCTATAGCTGTCTTCTACCACTGTTTTGCAATGAAATTAATTGGTTTGATATCCCCAGTTGCAACACGTTCCAGTATTTGCAGCCAATAACAGACCACTCAAGAACAAGTGGAAAAGTAGAATGATAGTCAAACATGTTACATTGAAACTCCAGTAATCATATAAATATCACAAGCATGGGTCATAGTACTGCTTTGTATTATGATAGTATGAATACTGTATGGATCCATAAAACAGTGTCAGTGGCTGTACCTGGCAACATGATTCTATAAGAAATTAATGAAATGTAGATGGGAAGGGATTAAATTAGTAGCATTTCTCCTTTATTTATTTATTTATTTTATTTCTACTTCGACCATCTACACCAAAGGTCTACTCCTTTACTATTTATTACCATTGGGCTTTCTACAGTTTTCTATCCCCAAGTGCCAATTTGAAATCAAATGTTATTTTTCTTCACTGTTTGTGTTGGAACTAATTGAAATCTCACTTTAATTAATCATATTCAGTTGTGATTACACTTGTAATGCTTGCCATTTGGTTTTTTAATATATTATTTTTGTGATAAAATGTGTGTTCAGCGTGTGTGCATGCGTAGAGCTGTGGGAGGCATTCAGGATTAAAGCTTTGACACACAAACATGCACCAGGGACCCCAAAGGTTTTCCTAGGTTGAAGGGGATTATTAAGGACCCTCAGAACCTGAGGGCAAAGGATTACGGAAATTTTAATTAGACTTTAACTGTGTCTGATGATGTCACCTGCCTTATACTTGCAGAGCTGAGCAAACAGGATCCCAGACAATTAATCTTAAAACCAGTATGAAAAGAAAAAGTGGAACAGCTTCTGACAGCATTGGAGCACAGGATGGAGGGAACCTTGGCCCCTCCAGATGTTTGTTGAGAGTAGACGTCCTTTCATCCTTGATTACTAGCCATGCTCGACTACTGGTGAGGGGTTACTGGGAATTGAGAGGGCAAAAATATCTTTTGCATTTGCCAGGATATGTGATATGGCAGTCACTAGTATAGTGATGTCACTGGACTGACCTTGGATTATGAGGGCCAGATTCCAAGGCTGAATGCCTCTATTTACTTTTAGTTAAACAGTAACTGTTCAGACAGGATTTGCATTGAGGCTGAAATGTGCAAAGCAGTTCTTCTGTAACCCTCCCTCGGACCACATTCCTAGCCTCCCTTTTCTGCCATGGGAAGAAAGTCAGCCCAGCAGCACCACTTGCCAGCTGCTCTCTTGGGACCGCTTCTGGAAAAGGCCATTTTCATTAGAAATCTGCCGTTTGACCCAAAAGGGGGGGGGGTGATCCACTCAAGCTGTGCTAATACAGTTCCAATTCTGATCACCTCCAACTACTTTAGTTAAAAAAATTAAATAGCTAGATGAAATGAAACTCTCTGCACGTAACGTGCAGTGGTTTCTTCAGAAAGAGGTTCCAAGATGATCCAGTGCAGCCGTTTGCATAAATGCTACTATATTAGTTACTGAGAGACGTTAGAGGTAGAACTGAGGCTTGTAAAGACATTGCCAAGGTCCCATTCCAGTGCAGCCGTTTGCATAAATGCTACTGATAGACGTTAGAGGTAGAACTGAGGCTTATAAAGACATTGCCAAGGTTCCATTCAGTGACACACACACACGTACACTCGATCAATCTCTTCCTAGCCTAATTCACAAACTTGTGAAGAGGAATCTTGTATGCTCTGTTGAATTCCTTGCAAAGGGAGGAGTATAAATTAAATAAACATGTAAACCATTAGGTTACCTTGGCTGATCGGAAGCATGCCCTCTAACCCTGACTGGACTTCTGGGCCTGATACATTATTGTGTGTCTATATAGGTATAACAAGAGGACAAGCAAATGCAAACGCTGCACTGCTGGCTGCAAACAGAACTCTAGTGTATTGTGTCTCCTTGTTATGCCTGTATGCATAACAGTTGGCAATGTTTTGCTACCCCTTGTTTCCTTTTTTACAAGGCCACATGCTTTGGCAAATTTCCCAGGGTACAATTCTGAAGAACAATCTTGGTTACTTTGTAACTACTAATAAGATACTCCAGCTGGGAGATGGCGGGAGGAGGACCAGACCCAGACCTGCCTTTCACATCAAGCAATGCGGAAAAATCCCTCACATGTGGCCCATATGGCGGGAGGAGGACCAGACCCAGACCTGCTATTCACGTCAAGCAATGCGGAAAAATCCCTCACGTTTAGGGTCAGGGAATATGTGGCCCATCAGACGTTGCATGATTTCTCGCCATTGGAAGGGTAGGTGGGTTTTGCAGCTCACCAATATTTAGAGGGCCACATTGCCATCCACCCTAATACAATATAAATGTCGTAAATAAAATAAAATAAACCAGAAGCCAAAACTGCTTTCTTTCTCGGTCAGGATATCCTGCTTCCCAAAGAGATTTGTTCTGGTGCCTCTTCTGTCAGCTTTTCAAGGCCAGATGCCCGTCCCCATTTGCTTTTTAAATAGTTTTCATTCTCTCAAGAGAGTGTTTTCGCATTGCATTGTGTTTTGTGCATTTTTAAAAAAAGTTCATCAGAGAGTTCTAATGCCACCTTTTAGAAATGTTCTGTATGCAACCAACCCTAGAGAGAATATTTCTGAAGGCAAGAATACTAATTTTGTAATTCATGATACTGTACTTGAATTATAAAAAAATCATTCATACTCCATCTTTCTGCCGAAACATGAGCCCCTCACCAAGCTGAGAATTGTAATTGCAAACAAAACTTCATGTCATGACATCTTAATTCTATAAATACCTGAAAAACTAAGACAAGGGCTGGGAAGACTCCAGCTTTCTAGGATCTAGTCTGGTTTTCACTGGAAACCATAGATCCTGCTGGAACCTGGTAGAAAAGAAATACACTTTGAATTTAAATAATTTTGAAGCTGGGTGATTATTTTGTTTTGTAGTGTTCGTAGACCAAAATCTGAACAGTTTACAGCTCTTCCATATAAAAACCTACTGGTTGCCTAGGCTTGCGTGCCAACATATTGGTGCTATTAAATCAGGAGTCAGAGGTCTTTGCTAATTTCAGCCAGGGATGCCCAGTTTAGTGCTTTAATCTGTTTTATAATGTTGGCATTATAATGTTTACAGCTCAGATATTTTAATGAAATAAACATCACACCAGCTACTGGGCTATAAAAGATAAATTAGGACTCAGGAGTCTTGGATTCAAATCATTGCCCAGCCATAGAAACCTATTAGGGGATAGCATTGGTAGAGCCAGTCCTTGACATCATATAATTTGAAAATACTACTAGAGTCAATGCAGGTTGGAAGCAACTTGATGAAACATTACCTCCCCCCCACATACACATAATAAATACAACAAAATGGCATCCAAATTATTGATAGCACTAATAGCATGTGGGACTTTCCACAAGGTAGGGAATAAGGATGTCTAGCCCGCCAGATGTTTTTGCATTGCAGTTTCCATCAGCCTGCAAGTGGTGATGAGAGTTGCAGGCCAACAACATCTGCAGAGCAATGCATTTCCAATCCCTGGCCTAAAACAGAGTGATGTTTTAATTCCTCCCCCCCCCCAAGAGCTCCACTCCAGTATTTCCCATGGATTTCTTCTTCATCCTCACCCTCAAGATTGCCAAGTCGAGCCAACTGGGGATTTAAAATGGGAATTTTAAAAGCTGCAGCCACTGTAATGCATGAGCCAATAAGAGAAAAACAGACCATCCATCTATCTTCTTAGTTCATAGTAGTGGCTCCCTAACTTTTGTGATAGCAAAGTAACCTGGGACACCCCACCAACACCCTCATTTGCATAAAAAGTCATTTTTAAACTGGTCACCCCATCTCACTACCAGCTTTCCTCCCCAAAGGGCCAGTTTCTCATAGATACATATATATGCTCACTTTAAGACCCTTCTCTGAAAGCCCAAGGAAGATAATTTAGAAATTTATTTAATAAATAAATTATTTATCAGAATTAAGGGAAAGCCCGTGGTTCCAGATTAGACAAATCCAAGTTAGGTGGTGATACCTTTATTGAACCACACATATCAGGCAATCCCGAACCCATTCCCCACCACCACCAAAAAAAGAATGCACGCTGCGATCTCCTTAGGGGTCCCAATTTAGAGGGTGGAAAACACTGGTTTATAGCCAAAAAAAAACCCACTAGAGTTTGCAAAGGCATCATGGAGTAATTAATTGCATAGGAATGGGCCTGTAAGGCCATCGCCCCCAAACCCCCCTTGGTCAAGGCAGGCCTTCCTTGACCTCTACAGCCAACAACCATCAGCAGGAGAGGAGCTAGCTAGAGGTGGGGGGACATGAAGGCCCTCGGGCTGCTCCAGGACTACCGTTCCCATCAGCCTCGGCCCATGGAGTGGGCTTTGCAAGCCCAGCCAGCGATCCCCGGGAAAGGCCGCCACGCGTGCGCGCACGCTCTCCCTCCTTCCCTGCCTCCCCGCCCCCCAGGCGGCAGGCAAACCAATCCCC